TAAAATCTACACACACACACACACAAAAAAAATGTTTTCAACTATTATGAAGTAATTACTAATTCTGTAATTTATACTGACACTAGTGACCAATATTTGGTTTTGAATAAACTGATGTACTTTTAAATCAAATATTAATTTATATTTTGGTTTATACTCATGTTGCATAAATTCAAGTAATAAAGCTTTGGAAGGTCAAAATTGAGATAGATTTATAAGAATATGAAAACGGTGTTCATCTCAATTGAATTATTAAATTTGGGATATAGAAAAGATTCATTAAACAAGGCAACACTGAACCTTTGAAAAGAAAATATGCTCACATATTTTCTCCAAATACTATATATTCTGTTTAAACTATATTTGGTAATTAAAGAGTTTATTTGAATATTGTAAGACTATCAAGAACATTTTTTAACTTTTAGTTACTGAAGATTATCGTAGATCACATGAACTTGGAAAACATTTGGGTAGTTTCTTTATTTCTGAGTGTATACATAATTTAAGCTAATTAAATGGAAGTTGTTACACATTAATTTTGGCAATATCATCTATAGATAAAAAAATATGCAACACTAGATACATACATAGACATACAGATAGATGCAAACAGAGATCTTATAGCTTGAAAGGTTTATAACAGGTAAGACAAGTAATTGCTTCTAATTCCTCAAAAAATTATGTTGCAACCTGAATGATATCAAGAAGCTCAGAACCCATCCAACTACATTATTCTTAAATTGCTTTTTTACATCAGAGAGATCTTCAACTAAGTCAGAAATAGAAAGATTCCTATGTTTTAGATTCAGTGCTGTATGTCTCTGGAATATTTTAGCAAGTCCATTCACAGTGGCTTCAGAATGTTCTTGTTTCTTTCTAGATATAATGATTTGTTTGAACTTAGGGGAGAAGGCCTTAAAAAGTTCCTATCAGGCTCTAATATTAGTTTCTAATTGACCAATTTATGACAATAAAACTATTATAATTAAAATATATATTCTTACAAATATCTTGTCAGATTTCAGCTGGGATAAATATCTCGTATTGTCTCTTGGGCAGAAGATGCATCTACAGAGAAGATATAAATGATACTAGCCTTCCAAGACCCACAGACAATTTCAAGGATAATTAAAAGAAAAAACAAAACAAAATACAGACAATTCCCTTGAGAGCAAGCAAGAGTCAGTAGAACCCTAGCCACAAATGGAGTACATCCCACTTTTCTGTCTGGCCATATTTTGAAGGCCCCTGACCTGGTGGTTGTCAAACCAAGTTCTCAGGACACAAAATTAGTCAAAGAAGAGGGGGATAGTTTTCCTTGGGAGAGAAAATGTTGACAATCAATGGGTACCTAAAATCAAATTCATGAGTCAAAATTCCAAGAACTATTTTTTACAAATAATTTTTTGCCAGCCAATCTGAATCTGAAAAGGCTGGAACAACGTGTATTTTTACCTTTCTCTCTCAAGCAGGGCCCACAGATAGAGATCTCAAAAAATAACTCCAGTAAGAATTCTCACCCTATGACAGTTTTTCCAGGATCCTGTTTTCAGGCTCCAGACAGAGTAGGAGTCACAGGGGGTGTTAACCTAGTCACCAGAAGCTGTAGGTGGGGAATAATTCCATTTCTACCCTTTAGAGTGGTGCTTGGCTGAGACTCCTTTTTCTTTAGGACACCTCATCCTAATATATAAAAACCCTGGGTCTTAACAATCAGTAAGGGCTGAGGCTCGACCAACCAGAAGTCAGTCCTGCAGCTACAGCAACCCAGTGCTGACTGCTTCCGCTGCAGGTGTGGTGCACCAGCACTGACTGCTGAGGGGGCTGCGAATCAGGGCCAGAAAGAGGCCTGAGGAGAGAAGCAGGGACTGATCCACTTCCTCTGTGACAGCTTTGGATCAGCACTTGCCTTTCTCTTTTTCTCCCAGTCTGGAGAACAAATACATTAACATTTGGTCTCACTAAGAAGTATTGCAGTCAGTGGCATGATTAAAGAGATGTACAATATAAAAATGTCTCAATGCCTGTTTTGTTGTTGTTTCAACAGTGATTTGGAGATAGGTAAGTCTTATCTTAAACAAATTATGGAGTAGGCAAAATTATTCTTCATTGCACTGAACTTTTACAAATCTTGGTTCATTTTTCCTTTCATGGTAATCTCTGTCTTTAGTTCAGCTTAGAATTCATCTAAGGTGAAGAATTATTTTGGCCCAGCATCTTCCTAATATCAAGCGCTGTCTTTCATCAAAGTGTGAAAGGATCTGACAGATCTATTTTGTGAGCCTTTCACATTCTCAGGGGGCTCTTTCCTCTTTCCCAGGGGTGAGTTTTCCTCCTCAGATATCCAGTGTTCCCTTTTCTTTAACTACCTCTTTTGAACACAGAGAAACACTGTCACTCTAGCTGTCATGTTCAATTGTTAATTGATGGATTTTTCTTTGAAATAAAATAGCTGCTGCCAATGTATTACCTAAACCAGACTGTGCACTTCACACTTTTCATCTCTGAGTAGTAAGTCTCCTAGAATCCATTTAAGCATTCCTGACAGCCGGTGAACAGTGTTAAAAAGGGTTATTCTGATGTATTTTCAGGCCAAAAGATACACACCAGGAAATACCTTGGCTTAGGCTTTAGAAGGACCATCCTGGCCACTAGAGAAGTTGGAGGCCTAAGTTAAACTCCTTCATCTGTCAGGATATTTCTGACCCTGCCTACTTCACATGGGGTCTGGAGGGGACTCTTCATGAAGATCCTATCATAACTTTCACACCTTTCTGTTTTGCCTGGTCAAGATGTGATAGTTTGCCTTTTTTTTTTTTTTTTTTTTTTTTTTCATTTGGCCAAAGGCACTAATGAAAATAAAAAAATTGAATTTTTTCTTTAATTTAATTTTAATTAACTTTCACTTAGCTAACCATGGCTGCTATTTACCTTCTTTGGCAGTGAAGCTTTGAGCATCAAATGCATACAAACTAGGACAGTGGTTTTCTATATATGATCTAGGCACCCCTGAGGCTCTTCAAGAACCTCTCAGGGGACCACACCATCAAAACTATCTGTCTGTCTGTCTGTCTGTCTGTCTATCTATCTAAAAGCCTGTGACTGGCTGACCTTTTGGCTGGTAGCTATGACACACACTGACCACCAGGGGGCAGATGCTCTGAACAGTAGTAGGTTAGCTTGCTGCTGGGATCCAGCCCATAGGGACTGGGCGAGATGGGCTGAATGTGCCCTAGAGACCTCCCATGGCTCCTTCCTGGCTGGCAGACCCTGATTGGCTTTTATCCAGAATGGGCGAGATAGACCAGACATGCCTAGGAGCCCTCTCTGGCCCCAATTGTGCACTAGTGGGGTCTTGGATTGCAAGAGGGCTGAAGTACCCACCGGTGCACAAATATGTGAATCAGGCCTTTAGTTTTGTTTTGTTTTGTTTTTTTATAAAAAACCCTCTCATTTTATGCTCATTTCACAGAGGCTACATGACATGTGGCATACAAGAGAATAAATACAGCCATAGATTTAAGAACTCATTGCCTTTTCTTAAGCCAAACATGAAAAAATAGAAAATGCAGAATAACATGTTTCTATTTTTTGAAAATATAATTATATTTTATAAAAATATCTGCAAAATATGTATTGCACTGATAGTATTTAAATAACCATATAGTTAAAAATTTTTAAATATCAGTTTAAATTTTTAATATGGTAAATATCAATCTATACAACTCAACAGAAACAAATCTCTTTGGGCTCCTCAATCATTTCAACAGTATAGTGGGGGCCTGAGACTTAAAATTTGAGAACTGCTGAAGTAAACAACTCAAGGAGAAATTTTACTGTTTATTTTATTTTGAAAAGAGCATTACTTGTTTGTTTAACAAAGTTCTGTAATATTATAGTGTTGTATGATCCCTTGAATATAATTGTTATAGTCTAAAACATTTCTATATATTTCCTGTAGCAATCAATAATCAACATCTCCTACTGGGTCAGATAATATCTTTAAAAGGAGCACTTTTCTCATATAGCCATGCTACTCAGGAGGATTTCAGTCATACAGAAAATGAAATGATTTTTTAACACCAGTAAATTCCCAGTATCAAAATACCTGGCTTTAATGAACACAAGTTAATGCATACTAATTCCAGAGGTTTACAGGCTAGTATGCCTCATACGTAGACAGAAAACAGCATGGTTTGCAGCATTTTTGCATTGAATATTTTTTGTACAGCTAACACTGTGCTGCCATCATGGGCCAGAAAAAACCACACCTTTTGTAATGATAGCCTCCATTTCCTCCTCAGGGATTCAAAGTCAGGGTTGGAAATTTTTCTGGACCAGCACCAATTGCTTTAAACTTCAGACTTATGAGGTTCCAAATTACTTCATGAAATACCCAACTAATTAATTAGATGTTTTATATTTCCTTTAGAATACTTATTTGTCTTCAGTTAAAGTTTACACTATCATCTTAAGGCTCAAAGTTTGCTTTCCACTACTGTCTAAATTCTAAATTCTAAATTTAATTTCACCCTCTCAGCTAATTTAAAAAATATATTTGTTAAAAAAGTGTCTAAAGCATTTTTTAACAGTCTGTTTGATTGATTTAAAATTTTTTATATTAAGACATTTCTTGAGCTTCCATTTGTACTCTTGCCATGAGCCCTCTGCCCCAGTTTTAGGAGTGGGTCTAATATCTTTTTTGGGGGGAGAATATGATTTCATCATCCACAGTCATTCCTTCATATCCATTCACCAGATAAGCAGTCAGGTGATATGAGGAATTTGAAGATAGAGAATCTGCATCTCAAGTTTGGTAAGCATGACTACAGTTTTAGTTCATTACAGAGACAACATACTGTTGTCCATTATGGTCCAATTTAGCACAATACATACATATTGGAAAGACTTATTATCAATCCACTTAGCAAAAGCACCTCATACATGTAGATATACTCATTAAATGTATTGATGAAAGGTTTTTTTGTTGTTGTTGTTTTTTTAATATGGAATGCTTCAAGAATTTGCATGTCTACCTTGCACAGGGGCCATGCTAATCTTCTCTGTATTGTTCCAATTTTAGTATATGTGCTGTCAAAGTGAGCACAAAAATTGATATCTGAGCAACTTGCTAATTCTTTACCTCTACAAGGTTTTGGGCCTTGAGGACTATTTTACATTTTTGTTTGTTTTTGCATTACAGAGCACTTTCAATGCTATTTTGTATTAGTTTTAGATGTATAGTACAGAATAGTGGTTAGACTACCATATACTTTACAATGTGCTCCTCCCCATGTTCTAAGTACACACCTTGCACCACATAATAGTTATTACAATACTAGAGGCCTGGTGCATGGATTCAAGAACTGGTGGGGAACCTCAGCCTGGCCTGTGGGGATTTGACAGAAACTGGCTCTCTGACATCCCAAGGGTTCCTGGATTATGAGAGGGCTGGCACATGATCAGGGCCGGGGAAGGATCGTGGGAAGGCTCCAGGGCATATCCAGTCCATCTCGCCCAGTCCTGATCAGCTGGATTCCAGCAGCAAACTTAACTACCGGACAGAGCTTCTACCCCCTGGTGGTCATGGGTGTCATATTGACTGGTTGAATAGTTGAATGAGCCGTTGGACACTAGGCATATTAGGCTTTTCTTTTTTGGACTAAAGGCCCTGTGCATGAAATTTGTGCTCAGGGAAGGGTCCCCTCAGCCCAGCCTGCACCCTCTCCAATCCAGGACCTCTCAGGAGACATCTGACTATTAGCCCAATTGTCATGTTACTACAGGTTAGATTTGTGATAACATAAATCATCATCCATCAGCTTCCAATAATATTTTCTTGACACCTACCACCCATTACCATAACCAATGCCAAATAGTCTTGGGTTTTGTTCTTCTACTTTGGAATCTCCTGGAACACTTTTATCAGTTAAGATAAGCAAAATTAAGCTTTTTGCTAAGTTGAAAGTCTCAGTGGCTTAAAATAACAATATTGATTTTTCTTTTATCCTATATATCTACCCAGACTGTTAGAGAGTAGAGCTCATAATAGGATCTCTAGTGGCTTATGGATGCTCCAGTATTGCTTCTTTTAAAAAAAAATAATTTTTATTATTTCAAGTATTATATATAGTATTACATATGTCTCCTTTTCCCACATTGACCTACCCCATCCACCTCAACCTCCCAGCACATGTCTACACCCCTCTAGGGTCTGTGACTATTTATTATGCTTATATGCCTGCATACAAGTCATGTGTTTGATCTTTTATGGTTCCCCCCACCAGCCTTTCCACTAAAGTTGGATAGTCTGTTTGATACTTTGCTGTCACTGTTCTCTATTTTTGTTCATTAGTTTATGTTGTTCATTATATTCCACAAATGAATGAGATAATGTGATATTAGATATTTCCAGCTGGCTTATTTTGCTTAGCATAATGCTCTCCAGTTCCATTGATGCTGTTGCAAATAGTAAAAATTTCTTCTTTTTTAAAGCAGCATAGTATTCCATTATGTAGATATATCAATTTTCTAATCCTCTTGTCTGTTAATGGGCACTTAGGCTGTTTCCAAATCTTAGCTATAGTAAATTGTGCTGTTATGAACATGGCGGTATATAAATCTGACTAGTGACTTTGAGCATGTTTTCATATGTCTCTCAGCCTTCTGTATGTCCTCTTTCAAAAAGTGTCTATTAATATTTAGGTCCTTTTTCCATTTTTTTGTTAGATTATTTATCTTCCTTTTCGTTAAATTTTATGAGTTCCATAACATTCTTGGAGATTAAAAACTTATCAGAGATAACAATGGAAAATATGTTCTCCCATGCAGAGAGCTTTCTTGTTGTTTTGTGGATGGTTTCTTTTGCTGTGCAGAAGCTTTTAATTTTAATGTAGTCTCATTTGTTTATTTTCTCCTTAGATATTGCTACGACATATGTCTGCTATTTTGCTGCCTTTGTCTTCTTCTAATATTTTATGTTTTTCCATCTTACGTTTAAGGTCTTTTTCTATTATGAGTTTATTTTTGTGTATGATGTAAGTTAGTGATCTAGTTTCATTTTTTTGCATGTATCTGTCCAGTTTTCCCAACATCATTTAATAAAGAGACTGTCAAGGCTTCATTATATGCTCTTGCATCCTTTGTCAAATATTAATTGAGCATAATGGTTTGGTTCTATTTCTGGGTTCTCTGTTCTGTTCCATTGCTCTATATGTCTGTTCTTGTGCCAGTACCAGCAGTTTTGAGAACAATGGCTTTTTAATATAGTTTGATATCTGGTATTGTGATTCCTCCAAAATTGTTTTTCTTTATCAATATTGCTGTAGCTATTTGGGGTCTTTTTTTGACCATTACTGCTTCTTAAAGCTACTACCCAGAAAGAATACATTCTTACACATTTCACTGGCCAGGATCACATGATCAAAATATCAATTTACGTGAGAAGAAAAGGAGATCCCTTATATACCCAGTCTGAAAGAAGTGACATTAGCTAAAGATCCTAATGAATAGCACTTGGGCAAGATTAATTCAGGGAGACCATGTAGCAAGATACTGGAATAACTCAATCATATGATGGTCGTGGTGTGGATCAGGGGGAAGTTGTAGAAGTGGTAAGATGATCCAACAGGCTTTGCTAATAGGAGGGATATGAGAAAGAAAATTAAGGAGTCAAGAATCAATCTAAGTTTTGATCTGAGCAAATAGGACTGGGTTTCCATTTACAGATATTAAGAGGAGCTATTTTGGGAGGTAATATCTAGAATTCAGTTTTGTACATGTTAATATTGAGGATCACATTCCGCAGTCAGTCTAACATGCATATAGGGTTCTGAAGAGAGGCCTCCTCTTTCCAATGGCTATCTTGCTATACTGGCTCTTTAAACCTGAAACCGAAACCATCGTGCTGCAAAGCCATCCCAGAGCACCGTGGACTTGTGATGATGCAGTGATCACTTAGACTTATCAAGAGTCTGTTTCTTCAATAGTCTTTTATCCACATACATTTCAATTTTACAAAATTTATTATGTATTTCTACTTTCAGTGACCCATAATACCTGCCAGGCTACCAGCTAATTGTATTAATTAAGTTCTTTATTATATACTCCTTAGAAAAATTGATCTAAAGAAAGCAATCATTCTACAGCACTCTCAAAAATTCTGGGTTATTTTTACTATATTAAGCACTGTTTCCATTTTAAGCAGATAATGTCTATTCTACAAAGATAAAAAAAATACTTTTATCTTATAACAACCCATTTAAAAAAAAAAACACTCAGAGACTCAGGAATTTTCAAGATCAAATTTGCCAAAAATGTTTCAGAAAACTGTGTCTAGCACTTCCTGGTGTTTTTCACAGGACTCTTACCGCAAGTATGGAGAAACACTACCCATCCTCAGCAAAATAATAGGTTGCCGCATGAAAAACAAATGTTAGTTGACCTCAAATATAGCACTTACTCAGCCATGTCTTTCAATTCTGGACACATCTTTGTAGAAGTGGCAAAATTGAGTAGCCAACAGAGTCTCTTCTGCAAAAATTCGGCACACTATTCCACAGATTATTGGAATCTGTTTATAGCCAATATAAAGAACTGTAACTTTGTAAGTTACTGTATAGGGACATAGATCAAGCATCATTCCAATGGTGAAATGCAGTAGTTATTCACTACTTGTTATTCACTCTCCAGTACAACTTTGCATTAATTTCCCATAATTGTTCTCATACGTTTTTACTGAGCCCTCAACTTAAAAGTGCTTAGAATGTCTATGCTAGGGCTCAAGTTCAGTGTTCACTTTTAATTCCTGGAGTTTACTGGCTTTGATCTGGAGCTTTTGCTAATTTCCCATCACCATCACTCTGTGGATGTTCAAGCATTTTACCATAACAAAAAGGGATTTCTTGGTTGGGTGGAATCTGGCGCAGTTTCTCATTCGTCTCTATTTGGGGAGAGGATAATCAGTACCATTGGTAACTCCCCAAGTCCTACAGAGTTTCACCCCATTCTAACCTAATTTTCTGATCCCAACTTTTCTAGAGTTGCAATTGTGTCAAATCATCTCTTAATGTCTAGCTCTCTTCTATATAAAAAGATCTGAATGTGAGTCAAAGACCTCATCCCTAACTCACAATCACATTTTTGTTTTATGCTGTTTTTTTACTCAACTTGCTTCCCCTGCACTTAAATTTGAATAAAATCAGGGTTTGTGTGTGCATATGTTGAAGTTGGCTACCATTTCTTTAGCACTAATCTATACTCAATGTAAACATGTGTTTAATCTTTGATTTTACATCACATATTTCTAGGATAGACCACAAAACTGGAAAAAATAATTTCATGAAAATATAAGTTATTTTATCCTTTCTTTGATGGGTGTTGAAAACTTAACAGTACCACAGACATTTCTGCCCTGCAAAAAGCTTGTTCTAAATCCATCGACCAGTCAAGCACAGGTGAAAAATTCTTCCCAGCAATCACCCTATGTTACAACTTAAAGGACTTGTCCTTGCATTATCCAGTTCTGTGTCTCAACATCTAAGGCATTTCATTTTTTCATCTTCCCCCAAGAGTGTTCTGTGTGCAGCCCCAAATTATCTTTCTAAGCACACTTCTCAAACACCTGAAAAATGCTTAAACTTTTTGTCATATCACAATCATATTACTCAGAGACCCTTCCATAGAAAAGAAATAAATAAAAATAAACCAACCAATAAACAAAAAAATCACCATTCATTTCAAATTCTATGATAGATAACAGGAGCATAGGAATATCTTCCATTAGCACTGTTTCTTCAATACTGGAGACCCGGTGCACGAATTCGTGCATTATGGAATCCCTTGGCCTGGTGGCAATCGAGGCCCATCAGGCTGCAGAAGGTTGGCCGGCTGAGGAGGGCGGTGCAGGAGGTTGGTTGTGGGAGCACTCTGACCTTCAGAGGACACCACGGGTCATTCAGTCACTTGGGCATTTATTTATTTATTTATTAAATATATTTTAATGATTTTTTTTACAGAGAAGAATGGAGAGGAATAGAAAGTTAGAAACATCAATAGGAGAGAAATATTGATCAAGTGCCTCCTACACACCTCCTACTGGGGATGTGT